GGAAAGAGAACTTCATGTTTCACCATCAGGAGTTTTTGTTTGTTTTGTTTGGTTTTTAGGTTAAATCTGATGATCTCTTTTTTGAAGGCAAATTAGCATCTATTCTATATTAATTAAAACAGTTGCTGATTTCAAATTTCAGTGCCACCTACTATTATTCACAGTAATTCACTGCAATAGCATTTAACACTTGTGAGCATTCACTCTGAGTCCAGCGTTGAGCTACGTTCATTACATGCATTATAATTCTCAAAGCACCATTTGGCAGTGGACACTGTTCTTGTGTACATTTCATCTGTCGGGAGGATGAAACTTAGAAAGCTCAAAGTTGCACAGCTTGGTGGTGTGGCCCTAGCACAGTGGTTCTCAGAGTCTAAAGTCCAGGCTCATCACCGCTAGAGTTACTAGCTCCCACTGACTTCTTTTTCCTTTTCCTTCTTTCTTTATTTAGGGCTACAAGCCACTTTGCTGTAATGGGACTGGAAATTGTGGTGGGTTTAGCATGGGGGATGGGGAGAGGGTAGAAATAGCAGACTCCATGGCTAAAAAGAAGGAAGAAAGGCCTGGAAGGAGAGAGGGAGCAGGGAGGGAGAGAACACGGGGAGAAAGCTGCTCCATTCCTGCAGGGGGTGCTCCTGGGCTCCCGTCAAGGTTTTGGTTCCATGGCATCTTAAATATTTCCACATGCTTTCCAGGCACTCAGTAGTAAACCAACCTCACAACCCATTTCACTGGCTCGCTTCGTAGATTCTCATCTGGCGGCTCCTACCCTCTCAAATTCCTCTTCCCTCTGAAGTCTTCACACTTCATGAAGCATGCCATAAGGCTCTGTACTTAAACTGGATGCCTTCTCCATGAAAATAGGGCCTACAAAACAATACAACGATAACAAATTCTGGTGTCATTCCTGAACATGCCAAATGTATAGAATTGATCTCAGAGGTCACCCAGACCAACTTCTTTCCCAACAAAACTAAAGCAAACTAACAAAATCAAACAACAATAACAAACCAAATGAAGCTTCCATTTAGTTCAGTGGACAGTAGCAGCCCATTGTCATGCATTTAGTTACTTGTGAATAGTATCATGATAACAGGTGTTTGCTCTGACAGTTAATTTCTGTTCATGCCGAGTCTTTTTAGCATCCCTGCTTCACAGAGAGGGAGTGGAGACATAGGGAAGCTCCGATTTGGCCAAGGTCCCGCAGCTAGTACTTGACACCTGTACAAGCTGAGGCTTGAATTCGAGCACAGCTCCTGCAGTCCCATGTTTACCACCATCGTACACTTGTTGGGTTAAGTTTCAGGAGGCAGCTCTTGTTTCTGGAGCACGTTAGCACAGGATAGAATTTCTCAAGGAGTTGGTATAACTGTTTGAAAAGCAACATTTGGTCATGCCAAGTTTGACCTTTGTACTTAGTGTGAAGAGTGGGTTCCCTAAACAAAACAATAGTGCAAAGCAAACAGAGGGTAATGCCAAACTATTTAAGTATTTTCTTACTTTCTGCAGAAATACATGTCTCTATGAATGAATTTTATCTGTTTATTAAGGGTGTAACAGCAGAAGGTTTTGTTGTCTAAACACATTTAACATTTATTGGCAAATGTGTTATATTCTCAAGCCAGTATAATCAGGGAATTTCCAAAATATTTTCTAAGTATAAATCAGTATCCTAGAAGTCTCCCACTGAAAGACATAGGGCATTGGCCAGAGCAGATGTGTCAGGTTAAGGCTCCTGAGATGGGTACACAGGAGCCAGCTATGCTTGGGAGCCAGCTATGCTTGCCTGTTTCTCTGTGATCCCCAACTGTATTTGCAGTCCATAAACTCAGGACTTCTTTTTAAACACTTCAGATCCAATTTATCATTAATCCACATAGCACACTTTTCTCTGTACTGGGTTTTGCTGATAACATAAGCTAAGGGTGGGATATTTCCGATATTGTCTTTGCCATCACACTCAGTACTTAACGTATTAAGGAGAAAGTGCTCTCTCATGATTTATTTTTTTCTGATATAAAAGGAAGTTTCATTCTATTTAGAGATTTTTTTTTTGGCTATTGAAATGATGACATTATTTCTACTTGAATCATTGCCCAGTTACAGTGACTTAAAAATATGTCTTTGCTTCTTAGGCTTTGGCCAGACAAGCCAAGATTGATTTTGAAGAACAAGCCCTCAGAGTTAAAGAAATTCATGAGCAGATTGCCGTGGAAAGGGTTCAAGCTCGTTACCGAAAGCATTATTCAATATGTGCAGAAATTTTGGATCAAATCCTTGATTTGTCCACTAAAGTGGCAGACTATCGAATGTTGACAAATAAGTAAGTGTTGTTTTTTGTTACAATAGTTAATACAATAGAGACACCACAGCAAACGAGAAAAGGGTAAGATTGTGATGTAGGCACTAAGTTGATAAGTAAAGAGAGAGATAACAATGTTTTGTGAAATGAAGACTAAGATGTGGGGTCCAGGATACCTTGATTACAGACTTAACTCACCCAATGACTAGCCTGATTTAAGGTGTATTTATGTCTTTTAATATTTAAGCTTTGTGTTTAACTTCTCTATAATTTACAAAGACAACTATGATAATTTATTTGAAACACTAGGAACTTCCTAGAAGACAGGAATTACTTAAAGATTATTTTACTAATCATTAAATCGATTTTCATTGCGCCTTCTTTCTAAAAGGAGTCAACCTGTTTGTAAGGAAACATTTAACAATACAAAAAAGATTAAGAATATGCGAAACTAAGAACAAAGGATGGGAGTTCCCTTGTGGCCTAGTGGTTAGGGTTCCAGGCTTTCACTGCCGCGGCCTCGGTTCAATCCCTGACTGGGGAACTGAGATCCCGCAACCTGCATGGTGTGACCAAAAAAAAAAAAGAAGGAAAAGAAAATTCAAATAAAGTAGAAAGTTAAAAACAAGGAATACATGAAAACACAGTTATACCAGTATCAGTAGATTTGCCAGATACTGCAACTGAGCTGCAGATTTTATCTGAGCTTCCAGGTGGCCAAAGCAAAAAGGGCAACACAGTTTGTCCTATGGTTTCTGTTTTCCATTCTAGTTCTTTACAAAATACAAAACTTTTCTTGGTCCTCAGTTTAGAATAATGATTTTCTCATGTGGCCCCACCTAAGGTATAATGAGTAGTGTAGTAGGTCTGGTGGAGAATGACCTCAGCATTCTGGCACCTGGCTTCAGAGACCTATCTCTTGTGATGTCCTTTCCTGGAAGCTGAAGGGGAATGACATCACAAGAGATCTCAGTGAAAGCATCTCCGCAAGGACAAGGATAAGTCACTCCACTTAAAGTTTTGACCTCTAATATTACTCAGACTGAGATCTTCTTGAGAACTCACAGTGAAAACAATGAAAGCCACATGATATTCAGGGTCAAACAGAAGATGAGTAAACCATCCCATCACCTCTGGACTTGATAGGAGCTTTCTCCACAGCTGTCACCCCAACAGCTATATTTCTGATGCACTGCCATATAAAAACTACTAAATGAAATAACATAATGATGAGGACATTTTGAAGTTAAAACTATAATAGTACAAGATTGAGAAAAGAAAATAAATAAGACTAAAAATTGAATTCAAGAGTAAATGTTTAAAAATACTTTTCACATTAATATAAATTCAAAAGTTCATAAATTATAAGAATAAAATTGTGAGGAAGGTAATCTATAAAAGGGTTAAAAGGAAAGGTGATACAATGCATTATAAGGGTAAAAAAAATAGATTAAATTACAGAAGATAAATATAGTGGATTTAAATATAAAAACATAACACAAGATAACTCAGAGGGGAAAAAAGTACAGATTGATTTCCCTAAACAAACAAAGGCTCATAATTCCAAATTAAAACATAAATGCAAATCCCATTCTGCTCTGGGAAAATGGAGTAGAATGCGTTTTTCCCCATTCTTCCCACTAAGTACAATGAAAGTCCCTGAACATTGTGTGTGAAACAAACATAAGAAGACTCTGAAGATGGACAGAAGAAGTGAGACTGGCTGGGGACCTCAGGACACAGTGGTGAGCTTCCTGGGTTCTCCCTGTGCTCACACATCCCAGATTGGAACTGAAGATTCTGGCAACAGACATGCCAATGGTGTAGACAGAAATAGCCCCAACAGGGCTTCTCTGGTGGCGCAGTGGTTGAGAGTCCGCCTGCTGATGCAGGGGACGTGGGTTCGCTCCCTGGTCTGGGAAGGTCCCACCTGC